AAAAAAAAAAAAAAAAGAAACAGGTTTACTCATCTGACAGAACCTGGTGAGACCCCTGAGACTATGGCCCCTAGTTACCCTTCAGGTGTGGAACTGAACTCACTCCTGTGGCTTCTAGCCAAATAGACATATGGGGTGAACATTTACATCAGGTAAATACACTCCTTAGAGTGATCAATTGTGGGAGAACAGAAGGGTAGTATTTGCACAAGAAGACAGCTGGGGTGGGGGCACACAGGAATGCATAGGAAAGGACACAGGGAAGGGATAACTATAGGGAGGAAGTAGAAAGAGAGCTGTTACATTGTGGGGAATTGCAGTCAATGTCAGGAAACAAAATGTGATTGAACTGCTGTATGGAAAATGGATTTGCTCTGTAAACTTTCACCCAAATCACAATAAAAATGAAGGAAAAAAAAAAAAAAAAGAGAGAGAGAGAAATCAGATGTTGTAGTGTGCTGGGGAAATCTTTTGCAAAAGACCTCTGTTAAGAAGCAAAGAAGTCATTTTGAAGACTAAGATGTGCCTAACCCAAGCCATGCTATTTTTAATTGCCTCCTATGCATGTGAAAGCTAGAAAATGAATAACGAAGACCAAAGAAGTATTGATGCCTGTGAATTATGGCATTGGCAAAAAAATACTGAATATAACATGGCCTGCCAGAAGAACTAGAAAATATGTTCTAGAAGAAGTGCAGCCAGAACACTCCTTAGAAGTAAGAATAGCCAGACTTTGTCTCACCTACTTTGGTCATGTTGTCAGAGATCATTCCCTAGAGAAGGGTATCATGCTGGGTAAAGCAGAGGGTCAGAGAGAATGGGGAAGAGTCTCACCAAGATGAATTGACACAGTGTCTGCAACGATGGCTGAAGTATAGCAAGCATTGTGAGGATGGTGTGTTTTGTTTTGTTGCCCATAGGGATGCTATGAGTTGGAGTCATCTCAATGGCACCTAACAGCAACAACATTTATATGTCAAGCACTAGGCCAGTGGTTCTCAATGCAGGGTAACTTTTGCCTCCAATGGGATATTTGGCAATGCCTGGAGACATTTTTGGTTGTTACAACCGTGGATGAGGAGGGGTGTTCTATTCATATCTAGTGGATAGATGTCAGGGATGCTGCTAAACATCCTACAATACATAGAATGTATCCAGCACAAGAAAGATTTATCAGGCCCATAATGTCAACAATGCTGAGGTTCAGAAACCTCGTGTAAGGCTATGCTCCTTCCATTCATTTCTCATTTTTTTTTTTTAAAAAAAAAGCCACCTTAGAGGCAAATGTTGATTCTACTGATAGATGAGGAAACTGGGGTTTAGAGAATTAAGCTGCAGTTCACAAAACTATAGAGTGGAGGGCAGAATGTTAGACCTATATTATCTGACTGTACCATTGTTAAATTTCTTGTGTATCATTCCAAAAATTGTATTTGCACATAAAAACATGTTATTTCCTCCCTCCAACATGTTATTTCCTCCCTCCACAGGATAGCAAACATTGTTCTCCAGTTGGGTTTTGTTTACAATACACACATCTTCAACATTTTTCTATGTAAAATATATATATTCAAAAAATTTGAAGTGCAATTTATTATTATCCAACTGATGCATATTAACATTGCCTTTAGTATTTAGTACTGAAACAATGCTAAAATGGGTGTCTTTATAGATCTCTTGGATACTTTTACAAGTACACTTACTTGTAGGATAAATTCTTTTAGGAATAGTGATGGGACAAAGATATATGCAATGTAAATTTTGATAGTTATTATCAAATTGTCCTCCAAAAAGAATTTACCACTATATTTATTCCCGTGGCCTTTCTCTACAATGAGACTGATCAGATTAGCAGATATTTCAAAATTTAATATGTGAGAAAAAGTGAACACTTTTTAAAGTTGTATTTCTTTAATTACAACGGAGGATGAGTATCTTTTCAAGTCTTTCTGGGTCAATTATATTTCTTTTTCTGTGAATTACCTTTTCCTATTGAATTGTTCATCCTTTTCCAAATGCTTTGTGAAACTTTTTTGTATATTATGGAAAACAGTTACCACTCTCCAGTTATTCATACCAAAAAAAGTACTGCACTTACCAAAAAACTGCTTGTTGTCTTCATAGTATTTGTTTCCATATTTGTCTTCCCCCACTAATGTACCAACCCTGACATCATTTGTCCTGTAAATGCCCAAAGAAAAGTTTAAAATGAATGATTTTTTTTCTTCAAATCACTGACAGAAATACAGTGAGTATACCAAATTTCAAACACCAAGGCTGCTGTGCCAGCTAGAAAAATGAGATGCTGGAGATGGTAACTGGTGGTATACTTTTGGCCTTCACCACAGTCACACACCACCGATGTGGAAGAGTCAACTCTCTCCTAAGAGCTACAGCATCCTTTGCTCATGTAGCCCAGTTATCACAGACATACTCACTGCCGTCCAGTCATTCAATTCATAGCGACCCCTCCTTGAGTTTCCGTGGGGGTATCTCTACGGAAGTAGATTGCCCCAATCTTCTTTCCGAGGAGTGGTTGGTGGGTTTGAACCACCAGCCTTCTCTTAGCAGTCAAATGCTTTAGGCACTAAGACAGATGAACTGATGATTTGATAAACTAACCTAACTATATAAATGATAGAACTGTTCTCAAATTATGTTGTTGTTGTTGCTATGTGCTGTCCAATCGGATCCGACTCATAGCGACCCCTCCTTAGGTTTCTGAGGCAGTATCCCTACGGAAGTATATTGCCCAACCTTCCTTCCGAGGAGTTGGCAAGTCAAGTGCCTTAAGCACTAGGCTACCAGAGCTCCTCCTCAGATTGTAAGACTACATTTATCTACCATCGCTGTGCCATGAGACATTGGGGGAAGCAAAACTTCCAGAAAATCAGAGTATTTCATCGTCTTAAAATAAGCCTCTTGGCTCCTTCATTCGACCCATGGTCAGTTTCCGCGGAGGATGCTGTTCGTCAGATTCAATAAACGTCCAGACTAGTAGTGACCGTTCAACCACTCACTCTACAGAGAAGAAAACCGAAGGCCAGTAAAAGGGAAAAACTTTCCCAAGGTCACACTGAGAGTATCTAGCAAAACCATCATTCTCCAGTACGCAGGGCAGAGAGGCATCCCAGATCTCTAAGCTGCATTTCACAGCTCCATGTCTAGAGTTGGCTTCGGTCCTGCGTTAGTAAGACCTATAGAAATAAACTTCGCTCCCAGCCCTGGAGCCCGGGAGGAAGGCAGAGATTGGGTCGGTTGTCCTTGACAGGAGCCGTAGATACCCCAAGGTGACCCAAGCCCAGCCCCTTTCCAAGAAACATGCCAGCTCAAGTCCAGCTCGAGAGTCCTAGACCCTGGCTCTGGACGCCTACCTGAAGAAAACTCGTAAATAGCCGCGGAGGCCACCGTGGCCGCTGATCTGCTGCAACCCGCGTTTCAAAACCTGCAAATACTCCATCTTGTCCCGCAGGCTCAGCCACAGGGGTGCACCAAGAAAAACCCACCGGGCGGAAGCACACACTCGGAGACCCAGAGCCGAGAGCAGAACGTTCCCACATGCACGCGCCTGTTCCCTGTAGGTAGCGCCACGCATGCGCAAGGCCTGAGTTCGTCTGCCCTGTTCCACTTTCGGTTTCCAGAGTTAAAAGCCATTGTTTCCTCCGGAAACAAAGGAAATGAGTCAAGAAGGCGGAGCCTGGGGTGGAAAGCTCACCTTATCCAGGCTTCACCAAATGGAGCTTTACTGTTTTAAAAAAGGGCCTCAGTTTTCTTATCTAAAATGATTGTTTTCTGTAGAATATATTCTTAAGAATTTTTTTTTTTTTCTCAAAGAGTCATGTAGTGATACATCTTCCCTCTTGATTATTTACCTGGACATAGAATTTTAGGCTCAAAATAATTTTCCCACAAAACTTTGAAGGCATTTCTTCATCATCGTCTTAATAGTTGATGAGAATCTTGATGCCAATGGGATTCTTATTCTTTGCAAGAAACTTTTTTTAAGCTCCTGAACATTTTCAGGTATTACTCCTTTGCCTTCAAAGTTTATGAGATTGTTTTTAGAGCTTTTTTTTTTTTTTTTTTTGATCCTTTTTGGAATTCAGCGCGATTTAGAGGTGTGTGATCCTTAGTTAAGGAATTTTTCTTCTAATAATTATCCCCCAATTGATCCTCTATCTTTTACCTTTATCTGTGTATTTTCCTTTCTTTGTGCTCTCCATTCTGAGCTTTTTTTTTTTTTTTTTTTTTTTAACTTTATGTATCAATCCATTCATTGTTCCGTCTGGGTCCGTTCTCTTTAATCTTGATACAGATTTTTTTTTCCAACTTTAATATTTTTAATTAAGGATTCTTGATCTCTGATTGCTCCCTAGCGTCTTGTTCTAATTTTTGCAACTAGCTTGACATTAGTATTGTTATAGAGGCAAAGAAAGCTAGAGAGATATGCAGAAGACATTTGGATAAGATGGTGCCCTGCTAATATTAACAAAAATAGGAAAAGAAGGTAGCATTTTTTTAGCCAGGAAATAAACTAGTAAATAATACAGTAGTTTAGCAGAGACATGGAAAGAATTCAGAATATCATATATCAAAATCAGAATAAAAGAAGTTAAAAAGCCACTATTAAAGGGTGTTAAGGATCTGATGGCAATGACTCCTTGTCCCAGAGTGTAAGTTCCATGAGGGTAGGGATCACTGCCTATATCCCTAACAAGGAGTGATGGTGGTGCAAAGATTAAGAGCTCAGCAGTTAACCCAAGGTTGGTGGTTAGAATATGCCAGCCTCTCTGCAAAAGTTGTGTAGTCTGCTTCCATAAAAATTACAGCTGTGGAAATCCTGTGGGGCTGTTCTACACTGTCCTGTAGGGCCAATGTGAGCTGGAATTGACTTGATGGCAATGTTTATTTATTTTTCTTTCGTGTGTCTCTACCACTCAGAAAACTGGCTGGCACATGGTAGACTGCACTGAATAAATGATCGGCATCAATGTGTCTTTAGAGCCAGATGGGACGATTCTAAAATGTAAGAAAACCAATGAAAAGCAAAGCCTACCTAAACAGTAAAACAATAATACTGTTTTCATTTCAGTGGTGATTGTACACCTCAAAGAGTACAAGAATTAGGTAATGTTATATCATGAAGCCAGGGCAATGGGCTATGACACCAACCCATCTAAGGGATTCAGTTGTACTTGTAGTGACTGCACAGGATATCTCACATTTGTCAGCCAGTTTAAGATTGGCCTGCGAGTCTGTAGCCCAATTGTCATGTTGTAGCTAAAATCTCTGGATACTAAGCAACTTCAGCCTTATAAGTGAGGATGAATGTCTTACTGAAAGTGGTAAATTCCAATTTTGGGGGGATGGTACAATTCTTTCCTTAGCTTGGCCCATCTGGGGCCAGCCATCACCAAGTGCACAGACTGTGGGACTACAGTGCCACCCACAGGCCTGGGGGGGACATGACACCCTCCCTGCAACACTGCTGTAACCCGTGGCTTCCTCAAGCGGGTCAAAATTTTGGGTTTGGCATTCCTGGTTTGGCCGACTTCCAAACTGCTCCCAGAGGATGACTGAAGAGTGCTCCAATAGCTTCCTCAAAGTCTGAGCAAAGTGCACCCAGCATGGCACAGAGCTTCCCAAGGACCACTACCTGTGGCCCAGAAGACAGCAAGGGCAGTCCCCAGAACATCATAACCAACAACTACAGGGACAGCAGCAGTTCCAGGTGGGTTACTAGAAAAGATACATGAACGGACCTCACAAGAGAAACAAGTGAAAAAGACAGGACCAATCTGTCAAGTCCTCATTGTACAAGATGACCATTCCTTTGAATTACATGAAACCCGTTGCTGTTGAATGGATTCTCACTCTTAGCGACTCCATAGGATTGGGTAGAACTGCTCCACAGGGTTTCCAAGGCTGTAATCTTTGTGAAAGCAGGCTGCCTCACCTTTCTCCTGCAGAGCGGCTGGTGGGTTCAAACCACTGACCTTTTGGTTAGCAGCTGAGCACTGCTAACACAAGGGCTCCAAAGTTTAATTATATGAAACTGCACTAAATCTGATCTTTCTCTTGGAGGCCATCAGGGACAAAGAAGTCATTACCATATATCCATTGCTGAAACATTCAAAAAAGGAAACTCGTTTTGGTGGACTTCATGTTGAGACATATGTACACACAGGAGTCAGTTCATCGGGTTGGAGATTATACTACATCATTTGCAATTTTCTCATGGTGAAATGAGTCTGAGCAAGAGACCGTAGACATCAAGATATGGAGAGAAGTCTCTTTATCGGGAAAACTGACAGTAAAAAGACTGCAGCTATTGATTCCCAATGTTATTTGGATATTCCGGAAACCTTGGATAGTCAATTTTGAGAGATGTAGCCACAGTATGTGCCCTTAGCACAGTGATCGTCTCAATGCAGGTATTAACTTAACCTAACATATCCAAGATGATCTTTAGCAGCTCCACCTTGTCACTGAGTGCGGTAGGCTAGCAATGGAGGAAACATTCCTGAAACAATTTCAAATTGAACATATTTACTTCTGTAAAAAGAAAAGCAAACAAAAAATAAAAAAAAGGAAGTAAGAAGAAAAAAAAGGAACAGCAAGAAAAAATACCTCCTAAGGCAAGAAAGAGAAATCAAAGGCATCCAAATTGGTAAGGAAGAAGTGAAACTATTCCTATTTGCTGATGACATGATCCTATACCTAGAAAACCCAAGAGGCTTTATAAAAAACCTACTGGAACTAATTGAGAGATTTAGCACAGTGGCAGGATCCAAGATCAACATCCAAAAATCAGTTGGATTCCTCTACACCAGCAAAGAGATTGC